ACGAAATAAACATATCTGACGTAATTTTCGAAAATAGATTTTTTCAAGCGCGATTGTTTCTTTAGAAAACTCTAAAAAACTATCCGAAATAGTGCTCTCTACGCTAATGCGAAATAACTTATAACCTACCATAACATAGCCTACTTTCGGCCTATACGCAGAATAAGTACCACTGTGCATACGCGACAATCTATATTTGCTACTATGACAAATCTAACGTAATGGGGGTGATTTTGGGATGTTGGAAAAATATTTTCAAGGTACTGGGTGTGCTACAGAGTCACACAAACACGCGTTGTCACCCCGGAAACGATACAGGACGAAATAAACATATCTGACGTAATTTTCGAAAATAGATTTTTTCAAGCGCGATTGTTTCTTTAGAAAACTCTAAAAAACTATCCGAAATAGTGCTCTCTACGCTAATGCGAAATAACTTATAACCTACCATAACGTAGCCTACTTTCGGCCTATGCGCAGAATAAGAACCATTCTGCATTCGCGAGAATCCCTGTGTGCTACTATGATAAATCTAACGTTATGGAGGCGATTTTGGAATATTGTAAAAATATTTTCAAGGTACTGGGCGTGCTACAGAGTCACACAAACACCCGTAGTCAGCCCGGAAACGATACAGAACGAACTAAGCATATCTGACATAATTTTTGAAAATAGACCTTTTCAAAGGCGAATGTTTCTTTAAAGAAGTTTTCGCGTTTGCAAAGGTGTCTTTTCGAAAATGATGTGAAGTGTGCGTATTTCGCTCTGCATCGTTTCTTGACAATGTGCCTTAATTTCACTTTACTACCTCAATGACAAGCCCAGAATCTTAAAAATAATTTCCCAATGTCTCAAAATCGCGCCTATAACACGCCTATATCGCGCCTTTGATCCGTCGTAACAGTATATTCGGATTTTTGCACACGCGCAGTAGTGCCTATCTTGCGCATGGATCGAAAGTCGGTCATATTACTGCAGGTTAGGTCATAAGGAGTTAGCGTTTAGAGCACATTCTAGGCTAATTTTTCAGTTTTTTTTAAGGAATTTTCGCAATTGCGAAAGTGTAATTTCGAGAAAGATGTCAAGTTTGTGTATTTCTCTATGCATCGTATCCTGGATGACAATGTTGTTAAGCTCGTGTCACATTACGGATTGGAGATAGAAGATTGCGGATTGAAGATTGGAACTTGACTAAATGGAGCCAAGCAGGCCAAGACCAAAGTGCATTGATTCATCGAAATCTAATCTTCAATCCGCAATCTTTCATTTCCAATCCGTAGTCTGACGCGGTCTTTAGTGTCACTCTACTCCCTGAGTAACATGCCCAGGATCTTGAAAATAATTTCCTAATATCCTATAGTTGCACCCGTAACGTTAAATTCATCGTAGCAATATATTCGGATTCTGGTGTATGCGTAGTGATACTTATTCTGCACATGAGCCACAACTGGGTCATGTTACTTCTAGTTAGATAATATAATGTTAGCATGTAGAGCAAATTCTGGGATAATATTTTACAGTTTTTTAAAGTAATTTTTGCTTTTGCAAAGACGTATTTTCGAAAATGACGTGAAATTGGACTGTATCGCTCTGCATCGTTTTTTAGATGACAGTGTGCGTTAATGTCACTCTACTTCCTCAGTAACATGCCCAGAATCTTGAAAATAATTTTCCAATAACCCAAAATCGCGTTCATGACGTTGGATCCAAATTAGCGTCGTAGGAATGTCGGATTTTCGCGTATTGGTCGAAAGTCATATTACTGCAGGTTATTTAGGTTATATAGTGTTAGTATCTAGAGCACATTCTGGAATAATATTTTACAGTTTTTTGAAATAACTTTCGCGTTTGCAAATATGTATTTTCGAAAATGACGTGAAGTTTGACTATTTTGCTTTGCATCGTCTTCCATATCACGTGGGGTGCTCCGCTTTATTTTCGCACGTACTTTCACCATGCAAAAGAGTTTTTAATTCAACGCAGGTAGAAAGAAGTAAACATTGCAAAAAGATTCGATGTCATGATAGTAACTGTTCCTTATCGTTTTCGTCTCATATTGTGAATTGCTCCGCTTCATTTCGTACTTTCACCACGCAAAAGGATTTTTAATTTTGTCGAATCAAAGTTTGTAAAAACTGTACTTTCACTGTTCAAAAGGGTTTTTAATTCGACGCATGTAGAAAGAAGTAAACTTTGCAGAAAGATTCGATGTCGGGATATTAACTGTTCCTTATCGTTTTCATCTCATATTAATAAATGCTTTGCTTCATTTTCGCTCGTACTTTTACCATGCAAAAGGATTTTTAATTTTGTCGAATCGAGACAATAGTTTTGCCAAGGTATTCGGTATTATGTCAATGATATTTCCCAATAAATTTTACTTTGTGTTGACTTGACCAAATTAAAAATGCTTTTGTATAGTAAAAGTACATGCATAAATGAAATAGGGCATTCCTGCCTCAAGGATGAAAATGGTGTGGAACTATTGCTATCGTGACACTGGTTTAATTTTTCAAAAATTACAGCGTACTGACTGTTCCGGTTTATATGATAAAATTATGTGCGAAAATAAAGTGTAACATTTTGGTCAGTGTGAAATAAAAATGATATCTCAAATTATCGTTGCTAATTGTATTGAAAACTCAAATAATAGGTAACATATTTTTCAAAAAATTATTCGCAAACTATGCTTGCGCCTACAACACTCTTCTCTAAAAACTTTCTTTGACGCACCCAATATACAAGCGATTTGAAGAATTTATCATAAAAGTAGCAAGAGCCTATTTTGGAAAGAATGCGAATATCGACAACGTGGCATTCACATTTACATAACGTCTTTGTGTAAGAAAATTGTAGCACACACACTTGCATCTGTGAAAAGATGATAG